GGGTCTAAAAACTGGGCTTCCTGTCTGGCAGGCCAGTCTGTCCTTTACTGAATCCCATCACCTTCGTGGCATGGCTGCGTCTATTCATGGAGGCGCAGCTGCTGTGTAAGGCTGTGTATGTTGTTTACTGCACAAGAGCACCTGCCATGGGAGTGTGTGGGGGCTGAAGTCTACCCAGAAGAAGGAGCACCTTTTCCTCCTTTCACAAAGGCGCTTTATGGGCAAGCAACTGCCCTGTTGAAACTAAGGTAGCCCAGCCTACAGAAACACAAATTTTCTCCCATAGTGTATTAACACAGTGATATTTTCTGTATCCATGTGGTTCAAAGAATTTAGTGATTAGTGCTTTAGTGCCCATTGGCCTACAATAACCAGTTCTAGTAGGTGTGTTTCCAGCAAATTCTGTCAGTGTAGGACTATAGCAACTTCTCTGCCAATCAGTGGGTCACAGTTGTGCCTTTTCGAATAAGGTCTAGGGTGTTGGAGGGAAGAGAGGTTCTTCCTTGAGCGCTCTGTCTCAGCTCCAGGCAAGTGACTGCTCCTTATATCCTATCCTGCATTCCTTAGGGTTCCCCTTACTTCTTCTAGCCAATGCTTCGTTATTCCAACCCCTGTTACAGGTAATAGTTCTTTATATTAAATGCTACCTGTTCAAATGACTGTGTAGTTTTCTCTCTCCTGATTAAGCTCTCAGAAATTTCTCTACCAGCCAGACATAGCCTGCTTCCCTTAAGGAGAAGAGAAGAGATTATGGTCCTACCAAGAGCTACATGCTGGTTCCCCGTGCAACCTGGAGGGTCCACGTCCTTATAGATTAGCCAGGAGTTCATGAAGAATGAGTGTTACCCCTTGAATTTCCCTGAGCTCCCTGGCTACAAGAGCGGAGAGACACGTGATGACATATATTTCATATGGTCAGTGCTGGTGGGTAAAACAGGCTTGAATGTACTACTTATACACGTTTCCCATTACAGTGATCAGCTCTGTTTGGAGGGAGAAGGACGATGACAGTTACATGGGAAGAGACTCTTGAATCTTGAAGATTGATTGAGGCTTTGCCAGGAGAGTGGTGGGGAAAGAATATGCCAAGCAGAGGCAACAGGACAGACAGAAGCCTGCAGGCATGGCAAGGCACAGCCACTCTCGGGGATTGTCAACCATATGGAATGGTTGGACATGGGTGGTAGCCCTTGTGAAGGGGTTTGACCTTATTCTGCACAGTTTTAAACACAGTATGGAGAAGAGTTAAGAAATGATTGTCTCCAGGCCCCTGTGCCTGGAGGGGATGAATTCCTACCCTAGGACAACACCAACAGGAATGGAAAAAATTGAGTTTAGACAAGATTAGAGAATCAGGTGGGTTGGCAGGATTTGGGACCCTTGAGGGCTAGTTATGAGGAACAAATGAGATAATGGTTGTGAAAGCACACTCTTTGAATGCTAATATACTGTAATGATATGAATGCAATTTGATTCTAAACGTGAATAATGAGGTTCTATGCTCCTATATAGCAGAATTACCTCAATTGTTAGGCCAGATGACAGTATGGTGGTGGTAGCACCACCATAGGGCCAGAAATTTTTGTCTTGTGGGTGAACAGTCTTGTTATACATCTCAAAAATAAAGGCACTCCGTTCATGGATCTTTTTATTGCATGAGGTTATGTGAACAACTGTGACGTGATAATTATGAGTCCGTCATTTTGTCATCTGTAGCACAATTCAGTTGGGAAGCAGCACTCAATTCCTTGCTTTGAATATCCAGAAGGATCACTTAGATCTTCTGTCGGTCTTATTTATCGTGTTCTCTAGCTATGACCATTTCTATACAAATGGTCAACTGACCTCTGCTAGGGCAAGGCCTGTGCGCTTTCCTTACATCCTATCTCCTTAGTGATAATCTCCGCTCCCTGTGAATGCTGTTCATCCCATCTTCCAAATCTGCAGGGCCATCTTTGACAAAGTGGTTGTCGATATGCTGTGCCTGCAGGAGGCTGGGGAAGGCCCCTGGGCCTCCTGACACCCCCTCTTCCCCGCCTCTGAGCCTAATTGGAATGCATGTGTGAGGACTCAGAGGCAAGGTGAGAATGGGGTTGGGAGTACAGAGAACAATGCTATAATGAGACAGTTTATCAGTGACAAAGTTTGCCCTGGGCTGCACACTTGTTTTTATTCTAGGTATTTGTATGTGGACACCCAAGGGTATAAAATATCTCTGGTCCCACTTTCTACTTATCATGGAGATAAACTCAAGCTTATCCCAAGAAAGAATCTCCTAAATTTCTGTATAATTACAATAAAATGCTCCACAAATAAAATAGACTTTTCAAAGATCAGTTTCCCTTACTGCAACTATCAAACTAGCTTTCTGTGTCTTTGTTTCTAGTCTGGCTGACACTTCTCAGCCAGGGAAAAATAATATTCTCTCTCTCTTTTCTTCATAAAAGTTCGCTTGTGGTCACTGATATTAATGTCTCCTTCTTTTACTTATGCCTTTCTGGTACACCTTGTATTTGGAATTCTTTCTGCTAATTTTTATTATTTATTTATTTCAAGGTGCCAAAATTTTCTTCTTTGACTCTGAGGAGAAGAACTATTTCTGACAAAGCTTTAGTCAATGCTACTGTCCATTAGGTTTATAGTTCCCTTCTAAGGACTCAACGAGATCAGCGTTGCTGAGTTCACACTACGTTTCAAAGCCAAATAGATATTGCCAAATGTTATAGTGAAGCAGAGTGTCTGAACTGCATATGCAAAATACAGCCTCTGCTCTTGAAATGCAAGTCAGAATGTGATGAACAATAGAAGCAGGAACACAAAGGGACGTTCAGGTGACCTGTAATATGAGTCACTGCCTGGCCACTGACTTTGCAGGGAGAGTCACTGAGGCAAAAACTACCCTGTGCATATAATTATCATGGTTACAAAACTATTTAGCAAACACACCACTAGATTTTTGTCCCTTTTTCTTGTATCATTTGGAAGCATGGTATTAAAATTTCTTTAATGGTTTCCCAACTTGTGAGTGAAATTTCATGTGTAAGGGGTTTAAAGAAAACAAAACTCTGTAACCTAATTAACTCCAAATTTAACTCAACATTTTCCCCTTATTTACCATAAATTATCTTGAGGTTTAAAAAATTTTCAAATCTGTATAATGTTATGGAAATGTAATTAATCATCTGTAAAACATATAAATCTCCACAAGACACTTTGTCAAATTATCTCGTCTCACGATCTTTTTATTCCACCAATTTTGCTTGGTTTCTGATTTCCCTGAGTTGGGATTAAATCAATGCGTTCCTCCCACTGCATAATTAGGACTGCTTTGAAACTATGTAATTACAAACCTCAACTGCGGATTGTAAACTCACTGTCATAACCACCATTAGCACAGTTTTAAGTTCTTCCAGAACAGTGGGGTATGTTAATAAGTTCCACCACTATATGTCTGCTATTGATTATCTGCAGCAATTATAGACTTGGATGGGATCCAAAACTAGACACAGAAGCTGGGAAAATGCCAATGTTTTGTGAGTCTAAAGGAATCCTTAAGAAAAAATTCTTTAAAACAATAAAACTATGGAAGAGGTCGTGTAAGATTTTAAAAGTATGCAATTGCAGGCTTAATTTTATAAATGGGTCCAGTCCTAATCTACTGGTTTCCTGGAAAAGTATTTTGGATAGTTATCCATTTTAATTTTGACTACTTTTTACAGAGTGAAATTAAAATACTTTATGAAGGTGTTCCAGAGCCTTATTCGACAGCTTCTGCTCTATTCACTCCCATTGCTCTGCCAGCCCACAGTCACCTCCTGTACCATGAACCTCTTCTCAAGTCCAAGTTCCCAACTCCCTCTTCACTGAAGTCTGGAGATGGTGGGCCCCCTTAAAACTGATGCAAAGTCTTCCTCATCCAGGAAGCTCACCCTGATGAGACTTTGGTGACATACTTCCCAGTTCTAAATACACAACAAAAAAGCCTTTTTATGATTTTTTTTTAAAAGCTCACATGTTTTCTCTTTTAATGTAAGATGTTCATAATCCTCATGTAAACAATTTTCTTTGAAGTGCGTCTTTGGTACGTGGAAACTCATGTACCAAATGGTAAACTCTATTAATCTGCTGGTACTCAAGCTTGATTTGCTAATTGAAATCTATTATAGCCATTTTCATCAAGTTTCTTTGTTAAATCTCTTTAGACAATCAACATCCTTGCTATTTTATAAATTACTAATTTGAAAGAAACAAAAAGCTGCCTCTCTCTATATAACAAATTCAGAAGCATCAATCAAGTTCTTGCTTGTAATTATCTAAAAAAATGTATACACTTTGATCATTGTAATTTCCCTGCTATGCATTTCTCAATGTTTATAAATGAACTGAATTGCAGTGGGAAAAGATCCCAGTGGATCTTAACCACTACAATAACTCTCTTGTAATTTGTTGAAAGCAAGTGGTATCTGTTTACTCTTTTACTTGAAGCTCATAACAAAAGCAAGCAGGTAGATTTTTGTTAAGAATCTTCAGGTTGGAGTCTAAAGCCTTTGAAACTAGATAAATGCATACCTCAAACTAAAAAAATAAGCTTTTGAAGCAAAGAGATGGGAAAAACGCCGGCTTTGCACAAACTAAGAGTTCAGTCCATCTGTTCGAGTAAGTGTTTACAGATAACTGTTAGTAAGATTAACAATGGATACTGAAAAGAATTATTACTAGCATTGTGACATCCTATTTTATGAAGATGCACTGAAATAAAAAGAGAGTTGAGGAATAATGAATTGGTCTCTCTCTCTCCCTTTCTTGAATTTGATTAGTAAATAGGGACATCCGGCTAACTGGTTCCAGTCTGGCTGTTGCTAGTTTCTAGAAATGTTCCCCTCCCTGCAGCTTTCCAAGAGTATTATGTTGTGTGGCAAATGATTACCTCTGTCACCTTGGATTTTGCATGCTTTTAAGATGCGCTTCAGTCTTGCAATGGAAAAAATACAAAAGTCGCCTTAAGTCTTACAGTGCAACAATTTTAATAGTCCACGTTAAAACAGGCAGTACAGTTGTGTAGTTCAACATTAAAAGCAATCTTGCCCTACTTGAAATGCTTCTACTTAATGCTTGCTCTCTCCCATCCCTTCACTTAAGGTGTAAGTCTACAGAAGGACTTCTAAAGTGCGTTTCTCAGGCATTAAAAACAGCATCCTGGTTTGCTTTCCAAGAGCAAGTCCTGAATCAGAGCAGGCCTTCCTCATTTGAGAGGCTGCAGAGTTCCAGCTGAGCTACCATCTCTTAGAGAAGTACCCTTCTCACTTCTGTAGGTGACACAAGGGGTGGGGGCCACAGAAGCTTTTAGAACAAAATACTTATGCCAACTTCCTCTGTGGCAGGTATCTTCCCTTACCACGAATAAATATTTAATACATCCTCGAGTCATGAAACACGGAAAACTCAACTGACACTTCAATTTTTAGGAAAACAAAATCGTGGAGGCCTTGTGTGAACATTCTGAATTTGGTGGGATGAGACACATGGTACAGGGGCGGGTCAGAATTCTCTCGGGTTTAGCACTGGGGGTTGGGGAGGTGGGAAGAGAGACAGTCCTGGAGCGCCACGGCTATTGCTTGTCGTCGTGGGGGTCACCAAGGAAGCCCGCCTCCTCCGGGGACCTGACTCCCTCGGGGAGCAGAGTGGCGCGCACTTTCCTCTTCTCCTTAAAGCGGCCCGAGCGCGAGATCTTCAAATTGCGGCGGCTGTTGCCTGATTTCTCCCCGCACAACTTGTCTGGCTTGTGGGGCTCGCTGGCGCCCCCGAGGAGATTGGGGTGCTGATTTTCCCGGGAGCCGCTAGTCCAGTCCGGGCTGGGCGGCGTGGGCGGCGCAGGCTCCCCGGGGCCAGGCTGGGCAGGAGGCTGCGCTCCCACCGTGGCTTCCTTGCCTTTCTTCCTGCTGTTCGTTAGCGATTTCCACCAGGGGCCCGAGCTGCCCGTGCCGCTGTCGGCCATGGCAGTCCGGCCAAGGGGCCCGGGCGCCACGGGTGGGGAAGAGCCTCGCGGCAGCTGCCCCTCTCTCCAGGTGGTCCCCGGCGTCCACTCCGCCCTGTCCCCGGCTTCTCGCAAGCAGGCTGCGGGGTGGGAGCCGAGGCAGCGGCCTGTGCTGGGGAACAAAACAAAACTTGGTTACTGGGTTTGTCGAAGTCCCGTGCCCTCTAATCCCGTTTCCTCCCCTTCGCTTCGCCTAGCTGGGGATTGGCCGGGATCCGAGCGCCCGGAGCCGCGTAGCCCTCAGAGGGCACCGCCGTGCCCCCGAGGACGCAGGCAGCCCAGTGGCCTCCACGGCGCCACCATCTGGTCTCGAGCCTGAGTCTTGGCACTGCCCGGTCTCAACCTTTGCCTAACCGCCAGGGGAAGTGCAGTGGTCAGCGCGCGAGGGGCACCCAAGGGAGGTTCCGGGGCATCTGGATTAACCGCGCCAGAGGGGCAAAATGGCCTGTCCTGTCACTCTGCCTGATGGTAGACGGACGCCCAAAGGTGACCCACCCCACCCAGAACAACCTCTCCTTGGATGAGCATCTGAGAGAAGGGTGCCCGGAAGCAAGAGCGTCCCCGCTATAGGTGAACAATGAATATTAGACCTCTGTCGAACAGTTCTGAAATTCCCTCAAAGGTTTTTGCTCCATAGACTTCTGTCCCAGGATCCTTTTCGATGTGATTCTTCAAGGGAATTTACATGCCATTGAGAGCGAGGGACAAGCTCATGGTGTTTTCTTTCTTTTAAATTCTGATTTTGACATAACTTCTGCCTTGTGACTTTCAGAAAAGCATGCCTAGATTTAACTTCCCTTGAAAGCCGCCATCCTGCTCTTTCTTTCATTCCCCAGAGGCCAATCTTGTGCCTCTTTGAAGTCACCCCCGGCCGACGGCTTAGATGAGGCCAAACAGCAAATGTTCTCTTCCCTTAGCTCTGTATTAAAATATGCACCTAGTCTGTTTGTACTAGGCGACTCAACGCTAGAGATTTTTAGTTACAAATTAAAGGCTTTTGTTCTTTTCCTTGTGCAATTCCCTCCTCCAAAGGAGAGAGCACGCGCAACCAGGAACTCCAGTTTGCTTCTTCCCAGCTTTTAAAACCGCACTCTGCGGAGCGAAAAGGCTGTGTATTAGCACTTAAGGTACTAATATCGGAAGCGAGACTCCTCTGCCCACTGTCTGTGCTGGGTCTACCCGCCACTAACTCCAAGAATGCGTAGGATTCGCCTGCGCCGCGGCTCTTGTCCAGGTTTCCGCTGGGCTCCTTCCCATCCCACGCGCCCGGCGCTCCTGGGAGTCGCCGGCGCGCGGGAGAACGAAACTTCAGCGGTGTTTGCTGTTGGAGGTTCTTCTCCCCGAACTGCGGGGAGAGAAAGTCTGAGCGCCTACGCGAGGCGGCGCAGCGGCCTCCGGGGCGCGCAGAGACCGCCGCACCGGGTCCTCCCAGGACGCCCCGAGGGCACACTCGGGTTGCGACTACAAAACAATAGAAGAAAACACGGCCAAAAGTTCTTTCCGTACAAAAGCCACCCACACCCTTAGGCACAGTTTGCAGTTGAGTTTGCAAACATCCTGCTCCTTCTACTTTACAGATAGGAAAAGCACGCCAAGTTACTCACTGGTGGGAGTGGTGGGATGACCTGATGCTGCTTTCTGTCTTCTACCCTACACTTTGTTCTCCACAATCAACTGTGTGTACGGAAGGGCTTCGCACGAGCTGCGCAAGGAAAAGATCGCAAACGACGCAAATGTACGCGGGGCACCTGAGGTTCGCAACTCCTCCTCGAGCGCCGGGGGAGCACCCTAGGGTGACACCCCGCAATGGGCTCCGTCTTGGCAGGATCACCCTGATTGCTCACCTGCTCGTGCTTCCCAGGACCCCGCGGTTCCGCGCCGCACTCGCCGCCGAGAGTACGGAGCGGGTGCGCTTGGGACAACCTAGAAAGCGGGGGCGCGGCGTCCCCCTGCGCGGTCTTCGGGAGGTCGGGCTTCTTTCTGGAAGGTGGGCCTGCCGAAATCTCCGCAGTCCCGCTACGCTGATTGCACTGCTGTTGCTGGTCTCTCCTGGCGCCTCCAACTTCTGCCCGCCGCCTCCAACTTCTGCCCGCCGCAGCGGCGGCGGCAGCCCCGGGCTCGCAACGCGGTCGGCTCCAACCGGAGGGCGCCGCGGCGAGTGGGTGCGAAGCTCACTGCCCCAGGTGAATGCCCAGGCAGGCTCTCCCGCTTAGTAGCTTTTCATTCTCGGGCGCGTCCCTCTGCCCTGCTAGCGCCGCCGCGGAACTGCCGGGAGATGGGACCCCGGCTGCTCACTCCGGTGCATTGAACCTTCCTACGCGTCTGTCCTCGGCGCGGGAAGGCATCTGCCCACCTGCTGGTTATTCGCCAAATGATTCAGGAAACCAGAACCCCAGTACAGCGGGAAGAAAAAAAAAACCCCAGGAAGCGGCCACCGCTGCCACAGGTGTAGGTAGGAACTCGCGTTCCCGCCCTCCCGGGGACGAGATTGGATCAGGTCGCATACGTGGCGCCAGCCTTGGGGTGTCTGATTGGAGAAAGGCTGTGCTGTGCCGCTCACCCATCCGACTCCTTCTCGAAGAAGCAACGTTGGAGGAGACGGGAAGCCGGGAGACAGAGGTGGGCTGTGGTAGATAAATGTCGCCGCAGCTCTCCCTCTGCTTCTCCCCTGATTTTTTTCCCCTTCCTCTCCGGGTCCCCAAGCATGGCCACTTAGCTCTAGGGACCCCAAGTTTTGTAACTCACATGAGCTATTTCGTACCCGGGCAAAATGTTGCGGAGTTTCGGCGCCCTTAGTTGAAAGGCTATAATATTAACAAGTTTGCCGTGTGCCAGCCAGGCGCGGTTCCAAGGGCTTTCCGTGGATTAACTCATTTTTTTCTCACAGCAATCCTAGGAGCTAGGTACTACTATTACCCTCACTTGACAGGCATGGAAATCCTAGCACTGAAAGGTTAAATGGTTACCCAGGGTTGCATGGTTGGGACGTGGCAGAGCCGGATTTGAACCCAGGAGGTCTGACTTCAGCTCCCGCGGTCTTAACCAGCACGTTATACCGCAACCTGCCCGTCTTGGGCTCTTAACACGACTAAGTGAGGACGTGAATTTCCCTCAGGTCTGGATGTACGCCCCACCCGGGGAGTGTAAATCCAGCCCTGAGCTGCTGCAGGAAGTGGACCAGGGAAGTGCTTCAAGGTTCAGGAGGCCTTTGCTCCCAGGCACGTATCGGTGCTTTTTATTGGTTGGACAGAAAGGTATTGACATAGGGCATTTTCAGTAATGAAGGCAGAGGTGCAGCCTGCTGCATATTCCGGTTTACTCTTCTTTTTCAAGCAGAGCACGCGAACTTAACCACTACAGCACCGGGCCGGCCCGTCAAAGAACTATAACTCCTCTGAAGGACTGAGCACAGAGCAACTGAGTCTGAGCGTCTTTGTTCTGAGGACGTTCTGAAGTATAAAAGTAGTGACAGACGTCCTGTCTACCTCAAATAACTTACAATATAGAATTAGCAGAAAGGAATTTTTATAGAGTATTTCAATGCATGAGATATAAAAATATTAATACTGTATATTAACTTCTTAGTTGGCATTCTTGGATTTTAAAATGATATGCACAGCAGTGTGTATTTGAAAGTGATGCATTTTCATCTATTTATTGGGATTAGTTTTAGAGAGTAAAAGTTCTGTGATAGCACCAGGACTGAAAAAAGACAGGCCACCCACTATGAGGACGGGACAAGTCATCATAGTGCCATCTCATTACAGGTGAAGACACTGGACTAAGGAGGAGGGCCCTTGTCAAAGGTGTCATCCCCACTAGGAAGTTGGGGAGCTGGGTTGCTACACTGTTTGTTGATCAAACAGATGAAAGAATGAAGATGTTTAGGGAAAGAAGATTAATACTGCCAAATAGCTCCTCATCATGCGTGATTTAACAAAGGGGCAGCATTTTGTTAATAAATGAACACCAACTAACCGCTGAAATGAAAAATGCATTCTCTTTCATCCCTCCCATTTATATTTAACAACTTGGAATATTTCTGTTATGTTTCATTGATTTAATGATAACACCTTACAAATAACCCTTGCATGCAGTGAAAACATTTCAATGGAGACATGAAAGCGAAGGAGAAATTAGGCAGAAGGGACTAGCGAGGTGGGGAATGGGTGAGCGTTCCAGAAGGAATAGCATGTGTAAAAGCTTTGAGGTGTGAAGGAGCTTAGGATTTTTGAGGAGCAAAGAGAAGGCCAGTGTGATCTGGGTACAGAGAGTGAGCTGAAGGCATGCAGGAGATGAATCTGGAAAGGTGGTGTGACCAGACCATTCAGGACCTTGTCAGTCATGGTAGGATTTTTGAACAGAATCCATTGAAGAGGGAATGACATGCTAAGATCTGCATTCAAAATATCCCTGTAGCTATAAAGAGTAGATGGTAGAGGGGACAGGTGGGGCTGCAGGGAAACCTGTTAGGGAGTGTTGGAGTAGTTCAGATGGGATATTTTGATGGCTTGCAGTAGAGCGGTGGCAGTGGGGGAGGTGAAGAGAATTAGACATGTGTGAAAGAGATTTTGGAGGTAGAATCAACAGGACTGTATTTCATTTAATTCATACAAAAGAGGAGCCTGAGTCTAACTAGAGGCTTAAACGGGAGATATTTTCACAGCTTTCCTTGTAACTATGGGTACCCACGGGATCCAGTTCTGACTTATGGAGCCATAAGGAAGACTTCTGGAAATGTTTCTTCCCTGGATAAAGGACAGAGCCTTCTGAGAGAAGGACACCTTTTGCTATACCCTCGATTCTTACATTTAAGTGCAGTGTGAGGATGTGATGTCTGACGCTGCAGCAGCCATCTTGCAACACTGAGGCAGGAGGCGTGGGAATAAAAACCACTAAGCCAAGGATGATGGCGTGGGAGTGTGAGAAGTGTCTGGGTCCTTGATGGTACCGATGAGCCCATGAAAGAACCCTGGAACCACCTACCTCCAGATTTAAGTTTGGTGAGATAATATATATTCCTATGATTTAACCACAAATTTAAACACAGTTTTCTGTCACTTGCAGCCAAACACATTCCTCTTTGATACAGTTTATTACAGTTGCAGAAAAAGATGATATTGTCCAAAAGGGAA